TCTGTTTCAGCAGCATTGACCTTAGCTCGTCAGTCAAGGCCTCCTCGCCTCCTGTAATTGGGGAGAACTTTACAGCCCCACTTTATACAGCCCTGGTCGCACAACATCCATCTTTGATTTGAGAAATCGACAAAGTCGCCAAGGAAGTCTCTAAGGATTCCAGGGAAGTCCTTATGATTAGATCGATGGACACACTAGCCAGCGCCATTCGTCAGACTTCACAAAGATACTCAGGCAGATCTAAGTTCACGGGCCTACAAAGAGCAAGAGACAGGAAGATAGCCAGCTCTAGAGGTAAAGATTCTTTCGCATTTCCCATATGGCAACTATAGAGGAGGATCAGGAAGAGGCAGGACACCCAGAGGTTCCCGCAATTATAGACGCTTGAAACACAGGTTCGAACGACTGGAGTCTTCCACCCCAGCCGCTCCAGTACAGCCAGCTCAAGTGGGTGGACGCCTCCAACTACACTGGGAAAACTGGGGAATATTGCAAGACCCTTACGCCTCCAACATTCTTCAACACGGATTTCGTGATCCCTCTACAGGCCAAGCCTCCGCTGGACAATCAAACCCCCCAAGTTCGATTTACAGTTTAAATAACAACTACCAAAGATAAGAGAGGCTGTTTCATCACTCCTATCCAAACAGGCCATAGAAGTAATAGATCAAGCAAACGTCGAACCAGGTTTCTACTCCCCAGTTTTCCTAGTTCCCAAGAAAACTCCACGAGAAATACAGACTCATCTACAACATGAGCTTTTTCAACAAGAACTATCTACGAAACCAATCGAAGTTTCTCAAGATGATACATTTACCTCGAGAGTTACGCCAGATGATTCGTCCTATGGACTACATGGGCAGCATAGATCTACAGGATGCCTACCTGCACATCCCCATTCATCCCGATTCCAGGAAATACCTACGATTTACTCTAGAAGGGCTACTTTACCAGTGGAAAGTACTCCCATTCGAATATCATCAGCCCCTGGCTATTCACGAGGATAACGAAAACCGATTATCAAATTTCTACATCGTCAAAGGGCTACATGTCGCGTTTTACCTCGACGACGGGGATACAAGTAGATCAAGATCCACTGCGTCTCAAACTACAGTTAAATTATATCATAAAGCTACTAACACAACTAGGTTGGTTAGTAAACTTACATAAGTCGGACCTAGTACCATCGCAAGACCTGCAGTTCCTAGGTATTCGATTCATCACAAATCGCAACCGTATTATGGTACCAGAAGACCGTTGGCTCAAGATACAACAGACCATTCCACCAGCTCTACTCTCTCCGTTACCACTCACGACAATGGCAGAGCCTACTAGGTCTTCTCACATCAGCCCAAGACATGACTGTCACAGGCAGATTACAGTTCACGTCCCCTACAGGTCCTTATCAACGCACATCTCAACGATGTACAACCATTCAGTCTACCAAACATCTCAGACACATCTACTATGGTGGACCAAGAAATCGAATGTCTGCGAAGGGATTTGTTTAGCAGAGCAGGAATACAAAACCCATCTGTATGTAGACGCGTCACTCCAAGGTTGGGGAGCTCATCTCACCAACCACACGATATCAGGGTTATGGAATCAGCAAGAATGCAAACTCCATATAAACAGTCTAGAAATGAAAGCTGTAATCAACGCCATTCTACATTGGAGCACATTTCTACAAAATGCGCGTCTAATGATCCATACAGACAATTCGACAGTGGCATTCTACATAAAACAAGCAAGGCTCAACGAGATCGATGAACCTTTTGAACCTAAGCTTTCAACTGTTCGATTTAATACAAGATCTAAATCTACATGTCAGAGCAGTGCACATTCCGGAGCCAGAAATATACTAGCAGACGCTCTCTCTCGGCCTCATCTACCATCACCGACAGAGTGGATGATCAACAGGAAATTTTTGCACAGATAATCAAGCAATTAGGAGCGCCCGGCTAATAGACCTATTCGCCACGCGATTCAACAATCAGCTACCGACATTAAGTGTCACCAGTCCCAGACCCCCAAGCTTGGGCAACGGACGCTCTAAGTCTATCATGGGAAGGCCTCAATGCGTGCAGCGTTTCGCCACCAGCAATAATACCTCAAGTATTACAGAAAATCAGACAAACACAGAGCCTACAACTCACTTTGGTCGCTACCCTACTGGCCGGCCAGAACGTGGTTTCCCATACTAATTCAAGAAATCGGTCAACCAACACTGGAGTTACCCAAGCCGCATAAAACCTGTTAATTCATCCTCACACCAAACAAGTGCACGGAAACCCAGCAATGTTCCAACTACTGCGTATGGACTGTATACAAATGTGTTTAAACAAGAGAGGATATTCTGCCAGGGCGGCAAAAGCAGTCACGCTTTGCCTTACGCTACTCAACTTCGTAACAATGTAATACGACGACAAGTGGCACAGTTTCGAAAATTATGCAACAAAGAAAGGGTTTACAGCAAGAGAGGCTTCACAACCTCAAGTGGCAGACTATTTGTGTTACCTACGCCAAAACAAACATTTAAAAGGTTCAACGATATCAACATATCTTGCAGCTTAGTTCTGTAATCACCATGAGAACGGGTGTCAAATTGACAAGATCTCCAGAGTTACTGGCCTTACTACGAGCTTTCGATTGGAGGACCAAAGCGGAAGTTCCACGCCAGCTTGGGATCTGAATGTAGTGTTACAACACCTCACGAGTGAGGTCTATGAACCTTTGGAATCGACAAACTTTGAATTTCTCTCACAGAAAACACTGTTTCTGCTATCGCTAGCCACAGCAGCAAGAATGTCTGAAATTCACGCCTCTGGATTACGAGAGGATACAGTTTGATGACAATCATAACACAGGCGCACCCTCGGATTAAGATGGGATTTCATCGCGAAAAATCAACTGCCAGGTCAACCAGACAGATTATTCCACATCCCGGCTATCCTCTATTCTTGGATCACAAGATACACAAGACCTATCACTGTGTCCGGTAAGAGCTCAAAGTTTATTCTGACGATCCAAAACAAGGAGAAGATTTCTCAAACGTTTATTCATCCCCTTATCGCCTACTGAATCAAACAGAAGTGTCACGGACCACAATATCTATTTGGATAAGGACTGTCATTCTCCGCCACCTACAAGGCAGCAGGCTTGGACCCACCAACAGCATCAAATCCACATGAGATCAGGGCACTGGCCTCTACCCTCGCCCTACACGGTAACTGTTCCTTGAACACGATTATGGAAGGATGCTATTGGAAATCTAACATGGTATTTGCTAATCACTACCTAAGAGACATCACTACAGAAGATGTCTCTGGCATTCACCATTTCGGACCACTGGTCCTCGCTCAGCAACTGACAGTCCCTCGTGAGGCGTTAAAATATTATCCTCACAAGATTAATATGTATTTTATACATACTCATCTAGCTTATAACTCTCACGGGAGTTTTAGGGCTATGTATATATGTTCAGCTTAAGTATTCAACCTTAAGCATATACTTGGATATAGTCAATTTCAGTGCCTCTATCAGAGTCACCTATATATATATATATAATTTATATGTATTGTTCAATATATTCATAATGTAATTCCCCTTAATGGCTTTATATAACCTATGGTTTTCTTTATACAGGAAACATCCTAAATCTAAGACTTCATGAAGTTCCCGTAGGGGATATTACAGTATATCTATACAAAATCACTAATTATAAATCCAAAGTATTCTGTTACCCACCTCCGTTCCGTAGGATGCTACAAGCAAAAGAGCATGAGTCAGGATAAGGAAAAATATGTAATTTTTAGAGTAAAATTGATATTTTATACTTATCCTGACTCATGAGGTTAGCCCTCCCATCCTCCCCACATAACACTTTGGATTTCCCTGTAAATTCAAGTGTTGGGCTCAAGCAAATCAGGAGAGAGAGTGGAGCACATGGCCAGAGGGTGGCGACACCTTTCCCGCCAGGGGAGACAAAGGGGAGCAACTCGTGGTGAGTACCAATTAGTGATTTTATTTTGAAGGGAGCTTCAAATAAGGAGATACAAGTGTTCCACTATGTTCGCAAGAAGAAGAAGACAAGCAAAAGAGCATGAGTCAGGATAAGTATAAAATATCAATTTTACTCTAAAAATTACATTTTTACATTGACTAAATGCCAGTATTTTTAAAATAACTTGATAAGGTGCCAAACAACTGTGTAGCTTGTTTTCATACACCTTGTGGTCCTGGTTACTCATTTTCGATTGCTGCGAATAGCTGCAGAATTGCTGATGCGGCATACAGCAGTTTCCACTCACTCACTCATTATTCATTTTCGAGACCCGTGAAGATCCTGGGTAGAATACGTCTTCAGCAACCCTTGCTTGCCACAAAAGGCGACTATGCTTGTCGTAAGAGGCGACTAATGGGATCAGCTGGTGTCAGGCTTGCTGACTTGGTTAGCACATGTCATCGGTTCCCAATTGCGCAGATCGATGCTCATGCTGTTGATCACTGGATTGTCTGGTCCAGACTCGATTATTTACACACCGCCGCCATATAGCTGGAATATTGCTGAGTGCAGCGTAAAACTTAACTCACTCACTTACTCACTCATTTTCAATAAAGCTAGGACATAATCATGTGAAACAAGTACAAAGTTGGTCTGGCATGATTAAAGAATCTATTTCAGATGCTCTTGAGAAGGTACCAGACAACATTATGTCATAATTAACATGACACTGATGGACTAAAGGGAATACTGTCAATAGCAGTGATTGCAGCATACTGTGTTGTCTTACATCATCATTTTACATGATTTGCCTTCAAACGCTCACTCATCCTGTAATTGTGCATTTTACCTGATAATTATAGCAAAACTGATATTATTTTGAAGTTAGAAGAATAATTCTGTCACTGTACTAGCTCTTTAATAGGCAAATGTTCCATGAAAATAAAGGTTATATGTATTGATGAGTTGTGACACACTGTCATTCTTGTGTTGACAGATTCAGCAGAGTGTCCGCAAGTTGGCCGAGTCCATCCAGACAGTGAAGACAGTGCTGGGCATGAAGATCCAGTCAGAACAGAAGTTGGTAAGTGGCTGGAGAGCAATATACAGGAGATACATGATTAGATTCAGCTCCGTGTTGGTGGACAGTGGGAGACCAGGTCATCTGATCCATAGCCATTTACCAAATGAAAATGTTGAATTTTTTTTTTAGCAAATGCTTTTTCGAGATATCCTTGAAACCATTTTAAAGACTACTTTAAGAAAAATCATCAAAATTTCTCAGATCTTTGTGCTCATAAAGGTCCCATGATATCAAGATAAGGAAAGGTCTTCAAACTGTTTTCACGTTACTGTGATATAGAAATGTAAGCAATACATTTTAATATGGAGATTTTATTATGTCCCTAAAAGTAATTGGTGACATTTATTGAGATGACTTTCTATACAGGGTTTGGTTTGTATTTTGGATTTTATGTTTGGGCTGGCATAATCCCAATCACATCACTGGTTCTTTTTTGCTAGCATTAAAACAGGAGATTGTAAGGTGAATTCCACATTTGAGTCATCCTAATACCTCTGCATTTCAGAGAATGTCAGGTTTAGAAGAACTGCAATCACAAATATCTGAGATAAAAACAGTATTAGCTAATAACCCAAGCATCCGGTGGCATCCACAAACGGAGCAGCGTTCACGGTCGACACAACAGAGTGTTCAGGTTTTGATGATTTAATGAAGACAGATTTGGAGGAGGAGATTACAGGAAAGAGCTGGGCACTAACACAGCAACATGTGGATGAAGAAGACAAAGATGTTACAAATGTGAACAGAGACACTGGGACTAATCTAGCCAATAGCAGAGCACATTCAGATGCCGCTGAGAGGAGAAATTCCCTCACAAGCAGAAACAGTGCATTACAAGCATACCTCAATAAATCTGATGTAGAGGATGGAGACAAAGATGACACAGATGATAAAAAGGAAGCTCCTGGTAATCCTCAGGGGGTAGATGGGGATGCAGATTGGACAGATGATTGGGGTGGGACAGACAACAGGGCTGGATCACAGATGGGGCAAGATGGACCAGGAGAGAAGACTAGAGCTCCATCTGTTGCTAGCCAAACTGGTTCTCAGATGGCCCAAGATGGGACAGGAGAGAAGACTAGAGCTCCATCTGTTGCTAGCCAAACTGGTCCTTCCACAAAGAACAGACATCCAAGTAGAGGTCCATCAGCAAGTGGAGCGAGGACTCCCAAGAGCAGGAGAAACTCTCTGCACGGAGATGGGAAAACTGGGGGAAGTTCAGAACAACGGAGAGATTCCCTCCTGGATATCTGAGTAAGGACACATCTGAAGCAACTTCAGGTACAGAGGCACGGGACTAACACATGGCAGGGCATCATTTGACTTGTCCTTAACAAGTGATTGCAGTTCTCAACTAATGGACAATAATATGTTTGGTTTCTACTAATGTTCCTGCTGTTTTGTTTCAGGTTTGAACCTTTCCATCTAATCCACGTTGATTGTTTGATTAATTTAATTTTGCTAACCGGATGTATGTGTGGTTAGAATATGGCTGTTTGCATGTGCTTGGGTATGGAGATCAATCAGAAGCCACATGCTCAAAGTAATCAAAGTTATAAGATTTTGGTACTTTGAGTACTAAGATCAATTCGTGCCAAGATCCATTAGTGAAAATGGTCCCAGGTTCAAATTGTATCTAAAGCCATATTCTAACCATTTATAACTCCAGTGTTGAACCCTGTCATCCCATCCACTCCCTGAATGAGGTTAATGTCATTTTAACCCCCATTAACCCCTATTTCCTGTAATGCTACAGCGAGTGGAGGAGGTGAAGGAACTTCAAGATGAAGTCTCTCAGCTCCGAGCCGATGTCCAGCCCCTCCTGCGCAACCGGCCCCCAAAACAGTTTATCAAGGGGGACGGTAAAGGAAACGACAGCGATGTCAACAAATGGGGGGTGCGCAATGCCTATAGGTGAGGTCTTGTAGCTGATGACTCCATTATAATAGATGTACACCCATATAGCCTAAGAAGTAGATATGATATAAGTGTAACGAAACTAATAATGTATTGCTTGTAGTTTACTTTTACAACATTTAGTTGTTATTCATACAATCTCAAGTAGACCCCTATTATTCATGATTATGAATATACTAATGACTTTTTTATACAAGGTATATTCTTCCTGATATATTACCCTACATTATTTAAAGTGGCCTGATGGTTCTGCATGGTTCATTTTCTCACTTCACGTCTGGATGCCAAGACTTCCGTTCATTTCCGTGCCAGCATGAAAAAGAATTGTTGTTGAATGCTTATAATTGTTTGGAAGTGTTATTTGGTAATCATTGTCATTTTTTTTTTTTTCCTAACAATTGTAGACATGTCAAAAGTTTTTGCCTGATCTCCATGTTGGTTCCCGTGTTTTATGTCCTCCTCCAGTGTTGACGTAACAAGCTCACCAGTACTAATTATAATAACACAGTTCATGTTTGTATTCGTCATACCTCCCCATCTGTGAAACATTCCAGTATGTTCATGTTAAATCATGTTGTGCCAAACTTTACATTTATTAGATTCCCAGAACTGTCAAAATGCTGAAAGGAATCAATGGATGAACAATTGAAGAAAAAACACAGATTATGTCATGTTTCATTTACATATTTTAATCAACTGACCACTCGGGATTTCAGAAAGATTTAACAAACATCTCTTAAAACCATTCTTTGAAATATGTAAAATAAGCCACAAAGGAAATTCAGAAAAGAATTTAAAAAATAACATTCTTCATGATGAATAAAGGTTATTTTAGCCTCATGGTCAAATGGTGTTGAAGAATTCAAGACCTAATATTTTCCTGTTTTATTCACAAACAGTGATGGCGCCGAGAAATAGCAGGTAACACTCCATCACTAGCTTCCCATTTCTCCAACTAATCCATGGCAACAGGAGAAAGTCCTACAAATGCTTGTACTATGAGATTTTAGTGCAGCCATTGTTCTACTAGTGCACATGTCAATGTGATGTTCTTGTATTGTTATTGTAGGTGATGTAAGTAGATTATTGTGCCTCACGGCAGGTATGTGTTTGTATTGTACTGTGCTATGTCCAGCTGTCCACATCATCTCATGTCTCCAGGATCTATGTCTCTTGCACAAACATGTTCCTTCAGGAAAATAGTCCAAGTCAATGTTTAAGATTTAACCAGTATGAGGTAAAATGATTTTGTTAATTTTGAAACAATTTGAGTATTTCTTTTGCACATTTTGTTTCCAAAGATATGGTTAGAGCTGGCTCATGTGGATTATATGGTTTCATGGCTGATTGTATGTAATTGTACACCTAATCCCTATTACCAATGCCCGTGATGTCAGCCGCTGGCTGAGACACAATTAATTATTGCCCATTGATTTAGCTTGAATGTGGCTGACTGTGGCATAAAACAAAATTCACTCTCTCGTTTGTCGAACAACCCTGACCATTCCCAGAAATTCTTAATAGGAGCCTCAACTGTCAAACTGTATCCAGTTATTTGAAAGTTGCATATTTTATACAAAACCATCATTTAAGTTGGGGATTCTGATAAGAAGACTGCAAAGGAAACTTCTTGTCTCAGTTCAGTTGAATTGCCATAGTTGGCAATAAGAATTAATATGTCCATTATAACCTTCAATGTTTGTGAGGAATCCCTGTTAGCCATATCTTCTGAGTGTAGGCTGTAGACTGTCTGTACTTTGTAATATGGATAGTTGTGTTGTGGACACTGTTAACCATTTATATGTCTCAAGTAATAGTAGAGCAAGAAATAATTTCTCACACACATTAGGTGGTCAAATAGAGGCACAAACTTAACTTGGGTTATCTTTTATATATACTCATGGAAACGAATAAGGGAACACACGAAAGTACAAGTGTTCCTTTATTCTTTTCCAGGTTTCTTCACAAGGTATGTATTGCACTGTGGGTGAAATTCTGGAATTAAATAAAGGAACACTTGTACTTTCATGTGTTCCCTTATTCGACTTTCTATGAGTATATATATGAGCGATAACACCAGAACCATTCCTACCTGACTGATGCTATTTTCTTTATCACTAACTAAGTCACACACTTTTGTTTTTGAAGTGAAATTATCAATGTATTTCAGAATTCTATTCTTTCACAGCATCACATTATTCTTAAGAGTGGAACTGTTTATTTTTCTTACAAACTGTCACTCACTGCACCACACACACACATGAAGCAGATGTTGTCTCATGACATCAATGGTTTGTTTTCTGGATAGTAGTACTGGAGAACCAACCAACATTTACAGCTGACAGTACATGTGCTTCCTTTCCTTCTTGAGTTACATGATGAAACATTATTATGGCATGGATGAGCAAGCAGTATGATATTCGATGGTCCTGTATCATGGATAATATATTTTGGCAATTATTCAGTGTTTTCTGTATTGATTGGTCTGATCAACAACTGTCATGTACATGTTGCAAGTCGAATGGCTCCCAAGTTGCCAGCTAATAATACAATACCTGCTTGTTGTATATTTATAGTAAACAAAGGATAATTTTAGTTAATTCAGTTCATTTATCATTTTAATTGATCTCACTGATTCACCTTAAAAATCCCTTTAGTTTTAATTATTATTACATATTAATAATGCTGAATGGGTCGTTGTCAGCATGGGTACTACAGATGTGTACCCCAGGTACGTTTCTGTACATACAGACATGTACCCTGGCCATAATGAGAATACAGAAACGTACCCTAGGACGATTCCATTCCCATTGTGTCGTATTCTTGATCGGAACTGTCATACATTTGATTGCGTTATGTAAGTAATGAGAATACACAGTAACAGATATTTCGCAATGCATATGAATACCACTTGCAATCCGTTGAACGGGAACAACTACATGCGGTTTCGGTTTTGGATTGCGGAATATGGACTCGTCCGCCTTTTAGGGTATTTTAACTGTGTTTAGGGTACATATCTGTATGCAGAAACGTACCTGGGGTACGTATCTGTAGTACCTGGGCCGACAACGACCCCTTCAGCATTAATAATGTTTGATTATTATCATTTAAATGTACACAATATTTTTGACAACATTCTTCTTGTGAGCACTGAGTGTTCTGTGTTCTGTTGTTGTATTGTCAGTCCCTTGATATCCATCTGTACCTAGAGTAGTTCAACGGATTATCACAATATCTAAATATTGCACTTCCTCTACCATTACACACCTATATATATATCCTATGTCAACATGATGTTGTTATTGGTGCTCACCATGGACACTTCATTTCCATGCTCAGATTTCTGTCAAACACAATACGGTAGTTAACTGGTTTCATATAGATCTGAAGTTTACAAGGCACATGTCAACAGGTGAGGGAGGCCCATTGGCTGCTCTAAATTGCTCTAGTTTATGCCTAGGGCCTAGATCTGCAGAACCTCAGTTCAATGTAAAGATTCTGTCCAGTTCAATGTAAAGATTCTGTCCAGTTCAATGTAAAGATTCTGTCCAGTTCAATGTTAAGATTCTGTCCCGGTTATGATCTTTGTCAGCGTCATGCCAATACATGTGTTTTTGCAAACTGGTATACATCTTCAACTGTGTCAATTTAGGCTTTACTCCAACATTAGGTTAAGAAGGTTTCAGTTTAAGAGGGTCCTGCTGGCTGTAGTCTCAAACGCTTAAGTGGAACATCTAAAGGTTTCATATTAAGTTTGACTTGGAACAACAACAAAATACTCCTTACCATAGAAGAAGAATGTATTGCTTTTCATGATAGCAGAACTGTTGTTGATTATTGAACTATTGAATACAGTGGTAGAACTAAGAATAGATGCTGCTATGTTCAACCATTTACTGGTCACATCAAATTTAGTAGGTGAATATCAAGTTTAAATAGCTCATTAGCACCATGTGCTGGTCATTAGAGAAGACCAGATGGATTGGTGGTCAAGCTTGGTGACTTGCTCACAATACTGATCAGTAGTGATTTACCCCATCAGGACCTTCTTGTGCCTTAAATACCATTCAGATCATTAATCACTAGAGAGTAGAAAATGTATGAAGAAGGGAGGTAACTGAATATTACAGATGCAATGAAACCTGTCTGTCTCTGAAAATAAAGCCAGGAAATCCAAGCAATCCTGGAATAAATAGCAACCTTGTTATATAACCACAGAACTTTGCAGGACTTTGTGTTGTCTTTGTGTTACATGGCTACTGTTTTATCTCCGGAACTGCTGTGTAGGATCGTCTTTTTCAGATACCCATTTGAATGACTAACTTGATTATTATTTGAATCATTCAGACAAAATACTTTATAATACTACTATGGTTTGGACATGCATGTTACAGTCAAGTAGGTTTTGCTGCATTTAGTGTTTTTGTCTACATGGTTTTCTCAGGGTGAGTAGAAAAAACTGGGATAGGTCATAAATTATTGTTGTCAGTACCTCGTGGTCTTGTATAAGCTGTTTCTCCATCACACATGATTAAAGGCTACTTTGCAGTGAGTGGTCGCTATTTTTAATCAACAAACTCAAGCAAATGTCTGGTATCAGTGAAACAGAATCAGCAAGTTCAGACAATGATCAAAGTCTCAGTTTACATTGTACAAGTTGTAATGTTTCTTGCTTAACAATATAGTCTATCTCACAGTCCCTGGACATTATTTTCCCTACTGCCTGGCCCTCCCTGCAATGCTAAAGCCCTCAGGTTCTCACTAGGGCTCCAACATATACCATAGGCTTCCTTATCTTGGCTCTACCCATTGCCTCAGTGACTGGCAGTGGGAGGGTTTTCACATGTCCATACAAAGAGAATAGTGATCATATCTTATCCATGAATCCTAAACAGCCTCAGGAGCCTCCAGAACATATAGACATCACTACTGCAACACTGATTCCACAAGTGATGGAGAAACAACGTAATGTATAGCAATCTGTGAGGTATTGACAATGTTAAACTACTTTTATAATGTTGTAGAAACATGTTACAAATACATACACATGTGAAGTTTTTAAGTGACAAGATACACATTGACAATAAGCACTCTTAATGACTCAGTTGTATGTGTAGTTAAAATGGAGGTAAAGGTGATATTCTTTCACTTCAGATGGCTCACATGGAAGTCACGCATCATGTACCTGAAATGGAGGAAGTCATCGCGGCGCAAGCAGCCTAGTAGTGAATCGCCCCCACCTAGAAGCAAGCCACCCACACCTAGAAGCAAGCCACCCACACCTAAAAGCAAGCCACAAACACCCAAGAGTCGTAAATCTCCTGGTCCCAGCAAAAGCGACCAGGGAAACGAACCCACCTGGTAGATAGGAAAACCATGAAACAAGTTAAACTGTCTCTTATTCTGATCTCGGGGGTAGTCTGCCTTAATTTCCTACCCGAATCCAGAGAGAAGAAGAAAAAACTGAAGTCTAAACGTGTCAAAATTGAAGAGTAGTGATGCATCCAAGCCATGTCATATGTCTGCTGCACAAGCAGTATATAGATGATAACATTCATTTAATTTAAACATCTAATTACTGAGTATCAACTGACATCTAAATGAAATTGTTCACTTTATATCAAGCTTTGTTGCTGCAGTGCTGCTGATGCTGTTGCTGATGATGTGATTTTAGCTCACCCAGTACAAGATTCACAGAATTAAGACCATACCAGCTTTTTGGAGTCTCAAATCTGTTTTACAGAAAAGGTTTAGTTGAAGTATGTGGCCTTATCTTGTTCTTGTAACATGTTGTTGCCATTGGCAATTCCTGTAAGTCAGTATGATACTTGTGAGCTGCTGGTTGTATCACTGGTAAGGATGTTCTTGCCACTGGTTAATTATTTGAGTCAGTATGATACTTGTGAGCTGCTGGATGCATCACTGGTAAGGATGTTCTTGCCATTGGTTGGCCCTTTAAATTAATATGATTCTCGTGAGCTGCTGGATGCATAGCTGTGATGAGGATACAAGTACTCCGTCCACTTTTATGATTTATTATCATGTTTACACAATATATTTATCATGCAGAACTCCGTCCATTGTTATTTCCAAATATTATTCAGGTGATGTGTGCATGAGTCGATGCACTGTTTTACAAGGGATACTACTGGTATGAGACATGGTGATATATTGTCTCCCCTATCATTCACAGTGTATATTTATGGTTCTTGTGTTAGGACTGATGTTGGCATATCATCTAAAACGTTCAAGAAATTAATATTACCAAACTACTATAATAGTTTCACTGGAATAATAAAATTCATAGAAAGGTACAATCATCTAAACTCAACCACTGAAACATCATTTGTCAGAATGTTTTTCACAAGAAATATGAATTAAGTTTTTATACATGTTCTCCCCAAGTAGTATCCCTTTTAACTTGATGCCTTATGACTGAGGAAGTTGCCTTTGTGCACATCAACTTTACTGTGATTCTAAATCCTATAAATGTATCACTAGTTTGAGTTTCCTTTATGGATAGGAACACAGATTTCACCTTTTTACCCCAAACCTAAACATTCAATTCACTTCCATCCTTGTTAAGGTAATCACTGCAATGTAGCAGTTATATTCAATTATTTGATCAAAGTGTTTCAAGCTTCATGTACTTCTTGTAACTTTCTATTTCTCTTAAAATATTATATTTCCAAAAGTATGTGAAACATGACAAAATTCCAACTCATTGATAAGTTTTCAGGTTTCTGCTATGAGTATTTATTTCAACCGATTCCGTAAGTGCAGGGTTTTTCAAGATCTTCTATCTACCAGGGTGTCAAAATTGGCCAATAGGAAATTGCAATATATTTATAGAAGTTTATATCAAGAAAAGCATTTGTTTATTCTGGAATATAAATGCCTAAAGTGAACCCTGATATGTATATTACTAACAAGTTGAAATGTATAGTGTAGCTTGTATTAACAAGTCTCTTGAAATGGTAATGGAAAATGTCATGTTTTACTAATCTGAAGTTCTAACAGATGTTCACATATTGCATTTTCAGTTTCTTGTTTACAGTTTGTCAAAGGAAACTGGATTACATGACAATCAGAAATATGACTCAACATGTATCTGTCATTAGTTTGTTGAAAATCTCAAAATGAACAGTATATTTTGTTAAGATATGATTTGAGAATTCTTATTTAATTGATTGATTTAACCTTTCCAGTCACTGTCCTAATTGATTGAAATTTTAACCTTGTGTTCCAGACACAATGTCCTAAGTTGATTATTTTCAAATGTTTAATACTGTGTGTTCCATGACAATTAAGCAATGTCTTCATCCTCACCAAGTGCATCAAATATCAATGATAGCAAGAATAAACTGCTTTGGTCATGATCATGTAAATATTCACTATCCAGCCAAGTTCCCCCACCATGCTTCAGGTTCACCAAACCCCATCCTCCACACTTGACTCACATTGACACAGTGATGCACATACAGGCACCTGGCTACCACAAGGATGTTGTGAGAAGAATTAGTTCTTGCAGCTATGTACAGTCTGTGATATTACGTTGAATCTCCTGCCATATGTACCAGTCCACTGTGCCTTGATATATCCTTCTGTGTAGCAGACACAGAACACACATTTGACTGTGTATTGCAGGCACATTAGAACCCTGACACATATGTACCCCTAGTAACAGACACCTGTCAGGTAACCATAGGGACGGAAGTAGACATGACACATTGGATTCTCTGTAACACACATTTACACATTAGGACCTCTGTAACAGACATTTTATACCTTAGGACCTTTGAACATATTTTACACATTAGGACCTCTGTAACAGACATTTTACATCTTAGGACCTCTGTAACACATTTTACACATAAGGACCTCTGTAACAGACATTTTACAACTTAGGACCTCTGTAACAGACATTTTATACCTTAGGACCTCTGTAACATATTTTACACATTAGGACCTCTGTAACAGACATTTTACACATAAGGACCTCTGTAACAGACATTTTAAAACTTAGGACCTCTGTAACAGACATTTTATACCTTAGGACCTCTGTAACATATTTTACACATTAGGACCTCTGTAACAGACATTTTACACATAAGGACCTCTGTAACAGACATTTTATACCTTAGGACCTCCGTAACATATTTTACACATTAGGACCTCTGTAACAGACATTTTACTTCTTAGGACCTCTGTAACACATTTTACACATAAGGACCTCTGTAACAGACATTTTACAACTTAGGACCTCTGTAACAGACATTTTACACCTTAGGACCTCTGTAACAGACATTTTACACATTAGGACCTCTGTAACAGACATTTTACACCTTAGGACCTCTGTAACAGACATTTTACACCTTAGGACCTCTGTAACATATTTTACACATTAGGACCTCTGTAACAGACATTTTACACCTTAGGACCTCTGTAACATATATTTACACATTAGGACCTCTGTAACAGACATTTTACACATTAGGACCTCTAGCTGTAACAGACATTTACACATTAGGACCTCTGTAACAGACATTTTACATCTTAAGACCTCTGTTGCAGACACTACACACATATCAGCACGCTAGTAACAGACACTTAATGTACTAGGGCACTAGTGACACTTAATACCAGGATCCTAATTATATGAGCTTGTTGATGTATTGGGATCCTCAAAAAGAGACACTTTTAGCACTTTGATGTTTAGTAACAGACACTAGATGCATTATTATCCCAAATATAATAGACAGTTGACACAGTGTGATCCTTAGTAACACACACTGAAAACATTCGAATCCGTAGTAACAGACACTCATTCCAACCATATAACAGACACTTGACACACTAGGGACCATAGTAACAGACACTTGACACACTAGGGACCCTTAGTAACAGACACTTGACACACTAGGGACCATAGTAACCATTAGACACTTGACACAGTAGGACCCTTAGTAACAGACACTTGACACAGTAGGACCCTTAGTAACAGACACTTGACACAGTAGGGACCATAGTAACAGACACTTGACACAGTAGGTCCCTTAGTAACAGACACTTGACACACTAGGGACCATAGTAACAGACACTTGACACAGTAGGACCCTTAGTAACAGACACTTGACACAGTAGGACCCATAGTAACAGACACTTGACACAGTAGGACCCTTAGTAACAGACACTTGACACAGTAGGACCCTTAGTAACAGACACTTGACACAGTAGGGGCCATAGTAACAGACACTTGACACAGTAGGGACCATAGTAACAGACACTTGACACAGTAGGGACCATAGTAACAGACACTTGACACAGTAGGGACCCTTAGTAACAGACACTTGACACAGTAGGAACCATAGTAACAGACACTTGACACAGTAGGACCCTTAGTAACAGACACTTGACACATTAGGGACCATAGTAAAAGACAGTTGACTCACTAGGGACCATAGTAGCAGACACTTGACACAGTAGGACCCTTAGTAACAGACACTTGACACACTAGGGACCATAGTAAAAGACAGTTGACACAGTAGGGACCATAGTAACAGACACTTGACACAGTAGGACCCTTAGTAACAGACACTTGACACACTAGGGACCATAGTAACAGACACTTGACACAGTAGGACCCTTAGTAACACGTTGGACACATCGAAACATTAGTGAGAAACCCATAAGGATTCCCATTAACAAACAATAAAACACTGATCAATTTCAACGCATCAATGATGATTCTGAAACAGATATGTGATGCACTTTTTACTTTTCTGTAAAGACAAACTCACGTACTGTAGCACGTAAATTACTGTATATATTTGCTGATAGTACAGGGTCCTGGGAATATGACAGCATAATGTAATTGTGCTATGTTTATCTCAAACAGACACTAATGTATAACATATGAATGTTTAGTCTGGACAGTTAAGTAATTGTTGAGATGACAGGTAACTCCTACAGAATAATGTATGGTTGTGAGTTTGGGCTGTAAGGGTGAAGTGGAGCACAGCCTTTACATACTTAATCAATTCTGATCAAATATCATACCGGTAACTGTTCAGGCCATCTAAACACCTTTTCTGATGCTCTTTTCAGGATACTGATCAACTATAAATAACAACTACTGTATAGAATATGTGTTTGTGATTTGAAACAAGGAATTATGTACAAAGTTACATTGTGTACATTGACCTTTATTAAGTGAACGAATATTTATTGATGCTGTTCATAAGTATACTCTTTCCATTTTAAATTTCATTTTGAAGAAATATTTCAATAGTTTCTGTGTTATTTTAATGTTATGACTGATTCAGACTCAAATGCGGTTAATGACATTGTGATATTTAGTAATATTCGATGTAATGCAGATTATATTTTTTCATGCATGTACTCTCTAGATAGACCAGAATTTTGGATGCTTTGTTCTCATTTTAATTAATCTGTATTACATATTTGTGCCATTTCTTTCCACTGATCTGTTAGCTATCACAGACTTGTCAGGTTTAAGCAGGAGCCTACTGTGAAATGATTACCTGGTATTAAATGTCATATTTGTTTTAAATGGGTGGTGGGAGTCATTTTCTGTTGCATTCTTGTTGAAGAGTGTTCAACATCTGTGTGCACCAACAGTCCATGGATGTTACTCACATGATGAATATCTGTTATGTTTAGATAGTGTATTACAGGAAACATGGAACAAACATTGGGAGTGTCTTCATCTGAAGCACTTTGGGACACTGACTTGTCAGTTAAGATGTATGGACTGGCTAGAATGAAAGTCAAACAATTGACTTCTCACAGCCAAATTGTAAACTTAAACAATGAATTTATTCATCCCTTTTATGTCAACTTTCCCTTAAAAAATCAACAAGGTCTGTTGAGTGGCATTACAACTGGAAAGCTGAAGCATGAAGGTTGTACCATATTATCAACAGCCAACAGCAAAACCATCACTGGTACCAGTGAGTTGACCATTTCTGATCAGCTGACAATTCCTGTGAGGTTGTAAATCAAATCTGTAAGTCTGTTTTGGCTCCTGACTTAATCAGTTCATCCCAGGTTCTGTGAACAAAACTTTCCTCCATCAAGTGTATATTACCTGTAAAGGTATTCTTGGTACATAGTGGCATTAGTATCATGGAAGCACTCCTATAATCACCTTACAGACATTGTCATTGAGACAAGTTTGAAAACATCCTATTATCTATCAGTCAGTTTGTAACAGTAGGAAATAATAAATTCAAATGTTTGTCAAATTTGAATTAATCACAACAGTGGGACACGTGTTTCTAGTTGTATTGTTAACTAGTCAGATATGCTAAATAATTTGAAATATGATATACAGGTGTGAGCATAATTTGATCTATCCACATATTTTGTTGAATATGAAATATTTTACATAGATTAATGGAAGATGTAGCTAAATATTCAAGGTGTAAGTTTATGTTAATCTATTACCACGGACGCTGACAACAACGGAGCAAGTAGATGACACCTCTAACTTGCTTGTAGCTTTCTGACACCCTCCTTTTCATTTGTGTCGCAATGGTTTTCAAACCGTAATCAACACTGGCACACTTCTTAGTTGATGTGATGCATTAAGTTGCAGAACGGAGGGCAAGGTGGCTATTCTGTGCTTTTGTCCTGTCGTACATATATATAGTTATAGCTTATACTGGCATGATGTTAACACAGTAATTACTCAAAATTGATATTTGTGATTTATGTCAAATTTAAGAATGTTACACTACTTATTTGTTGATTTTATTTATTTTGTTGTGTTAATTGTCCTGTGATGCTCTAACCAAATAAACTATTCTTATATCTCAAGTTGTTTTCGCTTTTCTGACAGGAGACTATGAGGATTGCAAGCATGAATGTTATAGAAAGTGTTTAGGGTCAAGGCAGATTGTCAAAATGGGATTGCTCTTAGAGTTCAAAACATCATCACCAAAGAATAATTATCTATTATCTGAATAAACAACATTTTTTGGGTGTAAAATTTAAAAAAGTGAAAATAGTTGATTTTTATGAATTGGTCACTGAAGGTCGATGATGCCCCCCAGGTATATACAAACAGTGTAAGGGGAGGTGGGGTAGCCTAGTGGTTAAAGTGTGCGCACGTCATGAAGATTCTCCACATGGGTACAATGTGTGAAGCCCATTTCTGGTGTCCCCCCACCATGATATTGCTGGAATATTGCTAAAAGCAGCGTAAAACCAACCTCACTCACTGCAAACAATGTAAGAATTTCCTGCTCTACAAGTAGGACCGGCCACCCACACAATGAGACATGCTTTGAATTTGAGAGTTGAAACCTTGTTAAGGATATTATATTTGAAGAATAGCATGGCCGTGATGTCATGTTCGGAATATGTTCCAGTAAATCGTCCTTTTTAGAAAAAATGTTTTCTGTACAAGAGGATATCTTGCTATTTACAACAGACAGTTCATGTCTCTCATATAAATAACTGTAGTTTTAATTGTGTAAAAAAATAATGTCATTAGTTGTGTTAAGACTATTATGAATAAAAGTTAGTTTTTTTCCACTTGTTTGATAAAAGTACAAGCACCTCTACTGGAACATTGCACAAAGAAATATAGAAGTAGAAGCCCATAAGTCAACATTATAAAGAAATATTTGTAACAACAAAAACAACAATGTTTCGCTATAGATGTTTACGTTTCCTCATCAAAACTCTCATAACTGCTAAATTATTATATTCAATTTTGTATTTAATGATAATATTTTTAGCAAAGAAATATTTTGTATAAATTGCTTTTGAACAATCACAAAAATACTGGATTCTCCTACAAGATAATTACCCTAATTACTTCTAAAATAATTTCAGTGGCTAAAAGTATACACAAAGACAGCATCAGATTTTGGAGAACTAGTGTTTGGGTAGAGATTTGTGTCTGTATAATTCTTAACCAACTTGAACCTTTCATAATACCCCTGATGATAGTCTGCAGCTTTTTAGCACCAATAGGATGTATCACATGAGGAAAAACTTAGTAATGTAATTTCATAACCATTGTGTAATAACTATTATATAGTAGAGATAAATGTTTCCTGTGCAAGAGAAAAACTTTTTTATATACAACTCACATGTTTTAGTTCATGTGAACAATGCATTTGTTAATTCATGATGTTTAAACATGAAGTCATCTGTCATGTTGAAACCATTAGATAGATAGATAGATAGATAAGTACGACTTGGTATATTTTGCTAAACCACTTGTTTGGTAAAGCTACAATAATCCCTACTGGAACATTGCAAGTTGAAGTTGATGAGTCAACACAATAAAGACATAACAAAAACAAACAACGTTTTGCTACGGCTCCTTATTTCCCCCAAGACCCCGATTAACGCTATATCAACGGAAGACTAAGCTAATTGAAATGTAATGGCATAGACACTACTAGTGGTTTAAGAATTTAAAAGTAGTATATGAATTTGGCGTTTTGAAGCCGTAGTACTTATGTGTGACGTTAGATTTAATAATTCTTAAGTCGATTTGGAATACACAAATTATTTACAAGTCTCACCAAAGGACAATTCAGAACCAAATTGAACTAAGTGGCATGTATGTCCTATCTACTAAGTAAGGACTACGAACATATTAAACTCTGCACAATACACTATTTGACAAGAATTTCACGACGGAAAAGTCTATATATGATACCTAGTCGTCACAAAGTTAAATAAATTTCTCAATTAAAAGCAAAATATGTTTCTACATTGATACATATTCTACTTATAAGGGTGAGACGGTGTGTATTGAATTAGATAAAGTATTAGTTTATATTAGTTGAACATTGTATGAACATGCACGTGGTTCTGCATGTTACTATTTACACACGTATATACTGAGATGTACTTGAACTACTTGAACATTGTCAGTCTCCCAAACGCAAGTCTGGTAGTATTATTTACACAGGTGCATCTTGGAAATAGGAAACATTCTTTGAAGGATTAAGTAATTATCTTCTTATCCACGCTAAATTGCCAAGCAAAAGAAATTTAAGCATTTGGGGATGTTTTGCCAAAAGAAAGCAGTTACATGTATATTCATCCTTGAATTGTTCAAAATGTTTGTAACCGGTTTTTAAATTCAAGAAACATTGTGATACGATTGGAATGCTCCTGATAGATTGGTATGCTCCTCATACGATTGGTATGCTCCGTCTGCAAATATTTCAAGTTAATCTGAAATAAAGATATAGGAATTAAGTCGGGGCCGCTAGCAATATGTTCGAGTCGAGTGTTGAATTTGCAAAGGCGATGGGGCAGGGGGTGATGGGGTTTGGAGTTGTCAGTTTGAGGAGCAAACCCCTGAAATTGCTTTGAAATAATGAGGTAATTTGATAGGAAAGAGAAATACACTTGGGGAATTTAATCTCTTGCAGGTTTTAGACTTATAGCACTAAATGATTAGGTAATGTTGAAAAGAGGGTATGTTTCTCATAATTCTGAGGCTGATAGTCTTTCGAAAAAACTTCAAAACTATATGTTTGCATTTTTTTAATACAAATGTCAAAACATATATTTTCATTCGAGCCTCATGCATCTGTTCATGTTTAAAAAAGAAAACTGACAATCTGCGACATGTCTGATAAGTTACCAATATTCTAATTTTGTATGTACACCTTTTGACTTGTCCAATGGGCCCTATCTTGGAGGTCTATCGATGGTCTAGTATCGTTCAATAATCACCAAACAGATCCAGTGTGAAACAAGAACACAGAACAGAACAGAAATATATTTCGCTGAGGCCGATATACTCGACATGCGGGGCACAAATGCCCATTACAGAAAACAGTTATCATATAATGGCGGGACGATTTGCTGGATGATTTAACATATTTTAAAATCATACTACAATATTTATTAATATTTTCATGAGACCAAGTTTTGTACACTGCAAGAGAGCTTGGCATTTGACCATATTGGGTTGAGTAGAGTGAGACTTTGACAGGTACGTTCAGCATTAAGGAATGGACAGATACAAATATGATATTCATCACCTATATCATGCATGTTACAATGGTGTATGTCGAAAGGGGTGATTCAACTTTCCACAAGTCGACTTTCCTTTCATGTCGAGCAATATTCCAACAGCTCCAATATTTGGTGTTTACTTTTCATGTTTGAGGTATCAACTTTTTTACACGTCCTTTTGCCAAACACTCAGAGAGCCTGAAACGACTCTTGCTCTGGAGTTGTTAGATCAAAATTAAAACATTCAAGGCCTCACTAAAGAATTCAAAAGGTTTTAAGGAAGACATGTGGAGGACATTTCAAACTTTGATCAGTATCCCAAATGATGTCCGTTGCAATTCCTTAATATGACTTGTACCATACGTTTCCGATTATTTTTCAGTCGAACCACTGACTAGCCTTTGCGTGTGTTTATGACTGGTGTGTCAGGATACGATCACGTTTTATCGAACACTTGTTATCATCTCTATTTTATATTTATTCTGCTCTGCCTTCGTGTGTCCTTATGTCAATCACCGGATTGTATGGTCCAGACTCGATTGGTACAGTGAACGGTATATTCACCTGGTGTTTCAGGTGAACGATTGGCTTGCCTTTGCATGTGTTTGTGAATGGTGCTTGAGTCGGGGGAAGATGTGCTCACCTTTTCGCGAACACTTGGTGTCACAACTTGTTCATACTGGCCCATGCTCATAATATTGTCGGAATCGTACAATCGATTCTTCAATAAGTCGGTGTTTTTATAATAGCGGAAACGATTTTATCACTTTTATCTATCTCTTCCTTTGACTTCTTCAAAAACTTGCAGCAGCAACATAGTTGGGGCGGTTTTCATTTTGCTATACGTGTGTTTCGACACATGTAGTACACCACTAAACAAAACTGATTCTGGTATCTCAAGGGTATATTTAAAAGGACATATCTGATTATCCCTAGCAAAAGTTGAGTGGTATTTACTTTAATCCGGTAAATGAATTAGGTAGAGGTTGTGGTTTCCTTCTGATATACTACATTCAGATTTTATATATAAGCATTTTCCAACTATTCATGTTTTCGTCAAAGAGTTGGAAATATAAACGTCAAGATCAACCAAGGCTCGTCTATCCGACGAAAACGATTGGCTAAAAAGTCGTGAAACTGTATGAAAGGGTCACTAAAAGCCTACTATGATATATTAAAATGACAAGTAATTATGGCAATGTGTACAAATGGATGTGTCAGTTTGAGGATAGTTTCAATTACAATTGTTAATGTACAACGGTATGGATTTAGAAACATTTAGAAAAATTTGATTATCGAGGAAAACAATTAATTTGGGACTTTTGGGTTTTTTTGTGTATATACAGTTTATATTAACCAGTTTTATCATCAATATCGTGAAATTACGATTTGCAGTTGTTAGTATATATACATGCAGGGTTTTGTCTGTTGGATTACATATGCACTGGTGGATACTGAAAATGGTTATAGAACAGACAAGCGAACGTTATCCCCCCTCAGACGTGCATTAGCCTTCCGCACAACGCCACAATTCCCCTGTATACGGAATGACAGATTAAAGATCAAACAATGACAAATGGTAATGTATAAGAGAAGTATAAACAAGGGTTTTAATTTGGATGTACACTTGGTGGAAACTGCCAATAGCCGCTGTCAAAGTCCAGCGTTTGATGCCCCGTCTGTGTCAACGTTATGCCGTCGTGGTGAACGTCAAAGGAATGCCAGTACAACATCGTTCCGGCTCGGTTCGAGCGATAGCCTCTGTCATGCTGTTCGTGTATTCGGACAGATTAATATGAACATTTTCGGTCACTTTTTCGCCT